CAGCGCATACAACACAAATATGCACAGTACAGACAATAAAAGCACAGAACACACCACACAATATGCACAGCGAACACAACACAAATGCACAGCACATACACAATAAAAAAACACAGAAAACACACACACCACCACATAATATGCACAGCGCATACAACACAAATATGCACAGAACATGCATATTAAAAAACACAGAACACAAACCACCAAACAATATGCACAGCGCACAAAACAAAAATGCACAGCACACAAAAAACAGAACACCAATAAAATGCAGAGCACATACATAAAAAAAAAAAAAAAAAAAAACACAGAACACACAATAACATGCACAGCACACAAACACAAAAGATGCACATGCACAGCACATACACAAAAACACAGAACACACACACACCACACACATACACAAAACAACACAATGCACAGTGCACCAACAACACAAAACACACACACACACACACACAATATGCACAGCAAACACCACAACACAATATGCACAGCACATACACAACACAATATGCACAGCACATACACAACACAAATATGCACAGCACATACACAAGAAAACCCAGAACACAAGAAAACACACACCACCACACACTATGCACACAACACAAATATGCACAGCGCATGCACAATAAAACAGTACACCACCACACAATATGCGCACACATCACAAATATGCACAGGACATCCAACACACCCCACATACACAATTTTTTTTTTTTAATTAAACAGTTTGCTTTTCAGAACAAGTTTCTGATAGATCCACTCCCTTCATAGGGATTGCAGGCTGCCATACATGGCTCAAATTTCAGCCAACTCCTGTCCAACCAGCCAAAATTCAAGTCAGGAGTGTCCCTGTCGGCACCACCAAGCTCAGCAAAAGCGGATTGTGGAATTAAGTTGAGGGAGCTGGGTGGAAAAAGTCGTCCAAGCAGTGACTGTGCCCAGACGGGGTCATTGTTCTGGTATTCTGAGAGCAGGGGGTACCGGATATCAGGACACAATCGCTGTCAGGAAAGACTCCTCCATTCACACCATTTAGCATGGATCAGGGAAGACGATACGATTTATTTTTGATCTCTAGACTAAAATTAAAGAAATCTAGGCATGTACGGCCCCCTCTTCTGGGAGCTACACACAGAATGATTCCTTATACAATCATATTGATCGATTGACATCTGAAAGATTGGCGTATTGAACAATCTTGCCATACGCCTAATGATCATAGCGATCTACTTTCCTATGATAGCATTTACCATCCTGGCAGATCAGAATGCTTTCAATGAAATCAATCTGTTTCACTCAAAAAATGTCCAATCCTTAGAGCCAATCACATTGTCCAAATCTTTGGGGTCCCAATCACCTTTATAGCTTGTAGCTCAAAAAATGCTCAACAATCAAAAACCTATTGTTTTTATGGCCCTTGTTCACACCTGAGCAATCTGTCACGTCTAGCAAGCCATCTTTCACTCAAAAATGTGAATGAGCTACTTTTCAGGCAGAACCAGGGGTGGACTGACCATTTGGAAACTCGGGCACTGGCCGAGGGCCCGGGGTCAGTAGGGGGCCCCATGAGATGCCCCTGGTACCTTTTTCATAGGCTTTTTTGAGTTTGGGCAAGGACACAGGGGCCCCATGATCCCCTATTGCCTGGGGGCCCCATGAGTTGTCAGTCCGCCCCTGGGCAGAACTGAGCATTTTTCTTGTAGAATTAAAAAGAAATGCCCGAAAAGTGCGACATGAGCGTTTTTTCAAGCGTTTCTGTTGCGCATTTTCTACTCAAAACAGCAGCTTTCTCCCCTTTTTTCAGCAGCACTCCAAACGCCTAGTTGAAAAATGCCTGACAAAAGCTGCACAAATGTGCCATTCTGCTCAAAAAAAGTGCTTGAAAACATGATGCTTAGGTGTGAACGCAGCCTGAAGAACGGTTTGATCAGATTGCTATGTGTACAGCCATCATTAGCTTTACATGTTACTTCACCTCTGTATCAGCACTGCTCAGACCAGGGAAAAAAAGTGTTCACGCTAGAGTTGCTCTGTGAAGAGTGATCAACATTCAGCTCACTTTTCAGAGGATTTGACAGGAAATGAGGCGGCATTGTATCACCTCCTCACCACCTGCTTTAACCCCCTGAATCCTGCACTAGCAAGCAGTAACAGCTGGTGCTGCAAGCAGCTGCAGGGCGCTTGCAGAGGGGCCCCATTCACTTTAATGGGTTGCGTTCAGTGAGCGCTATGCCTACCAAAAGCATCAAGGGGCATAATTCCTAACAAGGCCATAATGCAAAGCATTGCGCCCGCAGCATCTTAAACACATTGCACCCCCCCCCCCCCCGCCACTGACCTGGCCTGCAGCTGAAGGGGGTAGTAAAAGCGAGTCAACCATAGAGTTTTACCCTCACCCCAACCACTAGTGTAAACAAGCCCTTCGATTTGCCAAAAACCTGCTCTTGAAAAATCCCCATTTTTTTAATGCAAACCTTTTTACACCAAAAATTCAAAGATTATTTAAATTACTCAATTAATTTGTTTGCCAAACAACCCCTTTTATTAAACATTTTAAATGGTTTTAGGCTCCATGCGCAGAAGAGAAAAAAAAACGCTAGTTTTTTTGGGTTTTTTTTTAACCATACATGTAAAGTGGGAAAAAAAAAAAAAAAAAACTGTTTAGGAGAGCATAGCATTTTGTGCTGAAAGATGCTCAAATAAAAAAAATATATATTTTTTTTACACTATTAAATGCTGAAGCTCAAAATAATGCTACGAGCCTATAGTGTGCATGGACACATAGGATGGATAACAATATTTAGCTTCTAGGAGTAGAGCAAATAAAAAAAAAAAAAATGACAGCTTCTGGGAGCTTATAAAAAATGCTAGTGTGCACAGGGCCTTATACAGAATCATTTTCTAAAGTCTACATCAAGGTAGCACTCCATGTGTTCCTAACAGGTCACATTTTCAGGACACCCAAATGATTAAATACCTAGAATTGCATTGGGCCATCTGTGAAGGAAACTGGAGAACATGACCTGCTGGGGTCCTGTAGGTAATCCTGACCTGTTCCTTGTCCCTGAGACACCTAGCACTGGTGGAGGACCTCTATTCTAGGTAAGGGCTGCAGATCACCTCTACAGTACAAGACCCTCTAGATTACTCCTAGTGATTAGGATATGAACAGCGGGCGGTGGAAACGGGGGATGGGGGGGGCTCGCTCACACCTGACAATGAGCAGCGTTGGCCAACACAGTGATGAAACTTCAGTCATGTTCACACCAATGCCTTGTGCTTTTTGTCTATTTGCACCCCTGTATTTTCCTTTTTTTCTTCTTTGTGTGTTAAAGTGGAAATTTTTTTTTTGTTGCTGGGCAGAATACAAACACAAAGCGCGACAAAAACAAACTACATGCAGTTCAGCAGCTTTTCTATTGTAGCAAAAATGCTGCTTTTTGCATTTAAAGAAGTCCTGGACCCTTTCCAAAAATGCCCAGATATGAACGTGTCCCATAGGAAACCATGTTAACTGAACTGTAGTGTGTTGCTGCAAAAGGCACTAATCACATTGGTTGAACCAGGCAGAACCCTCGGCTTCCAAGTCCCATCAATCAGTCTTGGTGTGTGCTGTAAAAAAAAAAAAAAAAACCTAGAACAGACCAGGGGCGGACTGACCATTTGGAAACTCTGGCACTGCCCAAGGTCAGTAGGGGGCCCCATGAGATGCCCCCGGTACCTTTTTCATAGGCTTTTTTGAGTTTGGGCAAGGACATAGGGGCCCCATGATCCCCTATTGCCCGGGGGCCCCATGAGTTGTCAGTCCGCCCCTGGAACAGACTGTTTCTGAACATCACAGAGGACTTCATGTCAAAGTATACAAAAAGCAAAAGAAAAGTAAATAAAAATGCAATCACTGCGATGTGTTCAGGAGTGTTGTAGTGCGCTCGCACAGTGGACAGCAGTAGACATGCATTTGCGCACCTTAGCGTGCCGATTGGTACAAATGAGCCCCAAACCAATAGCAGGAGGAGATCTGGGGCTCAGAGGCCAGGCTCCCTCCCATGGATTCAGCTCACACCAATGTGCGGCTGTGGGAAACGGTCAGACCGGATCCATTCTACTAGGCGCTGTAAACGCACAGAACCTGAATAGAACGCAACTTCTACGCATGACAGCCCGTGTGTGTGGTGTACACAGCGAACATGTGTGCATGTGTGCCATGGCAGGAGAGAGGAAATCAGAGCCAGACAAAAGGAGGACCGGACGACCACAGATTTACCCAGACGAATGAGAACATCTCCAACCATCATGGAGGTCTCTGCCTGATCACCTACCTGCACCCTGGAGACCAGAGGTGATCATACAACCCCCCCCACACATGGATCAGACAGAAAACTGGAGTGACCACCCATTTCTAACTACAAACCAACCAAAGATAACCCAACCACTCCCCCCAATAAGACCACCCAATGGACCCTCCCCACATGGATCAGATAGAAAACTGGGCTGACCACCCATCTCCAACCAACCAAAGATAGCCCAACCACTCCCCCCCAATATCACCCAAAGGACCCCCGCCCCAATAATAATACCACCCAATGGACCCCCCGCCCCAATATTAATACCACCCAATGGACCTCCGCCCCAATAATAAATACCACCCAATGGACCCCCGCCCCATTAATAATACCACCCAATGGACCCCCCCCAAATACCATACCACCCAATGGACCAAAACTACCCCAATGGACCCCCCCCCAAAATACCACCCAATGGACCCTCCCTACACGGATCAGATAGAAAACTGGGGTGCTCACCCATCTCCAACCAACCCAACAAGGATAACACCACCCAGGAGATCTTCCCATAGAAGTCGGTCAGTGTATGACCAGAGAACACAGCATCGCCTACAACTTCCCAACTCTCCCCACTATAGGGATCTCCTGTGTGCGCCCCATGTACAGCCCAACACACACCGATCACATAGATCCCCGCAGTACCTGGCGGTCGGTGTACCGGGCTGTAGTCCATACATAGACCGAGTACCAGCGCCTTCTCCCGGACTGTGGCCATCCGCCTCTCACCGGGATCCCGGACTGAGCCTGGGGGGCGGGGCTCCTCTCCTCTTCTACTATACACGGGGCGGAGCCACACGACGTACCGCCTCCAATGTCCGCTGAACTCTGGAGATCCGCTAAACATGAGAGATTATCGGGGGGGAACATTGAGACATGAGAGACGGGGGGGGGGGGGCCATGATGGACGGGGGGGTCACCGGAGGAGACTGTGTTCTGGGCTCTAACAACTCCCGTAGCGTGTTTAAAGTCTCTGGTAGTCTCCTGCAACATGTCCCCAGTCCTGTCCATCCAGTGTGTTTCAGCCTTAGTCTCTGACCATCTCATGTACCGTGTCCGCAGTCTCTGACCATCTCATGTACCGTGTCCGCAGTCTCTGACCATCTCATGTACCGTGTCCGCAGTCTCTGACCATCTCATGTACCGTGTCCGCAGTCTCTGACCATCTCATGTACCGTGTCCGCAGTCTCTGACCATCTCATGTACCGTCTCTGCACCATCTCTTGCACCACGTCTGCAGTCTCTGACCATCTCTTGCACCACGTCTGCAGTCTCTGACCATCTCTTGCACCACGTCCGCAGTCTCTGATCATCTCCTGTACCACGTCCGCAGTCTCTAGCCATCTCCTGTATCACATCCGCAGTCTCTGACCATCTCTGTATCACGTCTGCAGTCTCCGACCATCTCTTGCAGCACGTCTGCAGTCTCCGACCATCGCTTGCAGCACGTCTGCAGTCTCCGACCTTCTCTTGCACCACGTCAGCAGTCTCTGACCATCTCCTGTATCACGTCTGCAGTCTCCGACCATCTCTTGCAGCACGTCTGCAGTCTCCGACCTTCTCTTGCACCACGTCAGCAGTCTCTGACCATCTCCTGTATCACGTCTGCAGTCTCCGACCATCTCTTGCAGCACGTCTGCAGTCTCCGACCTTCTCTTGCACCACGTCTGCAGTCACTGACCATCTCTTGCACCACGTCAGCAGTCTCTGACCATCTCTTGCCCCACGTCTGCAGTCTCTGACCATCCCTTGCACCACGTCTGCAGTCTCTGACCATCTCTTGCACCATGTCTGCAGTTTCTGACCAATTCTTGCACCATGCCTGCAGTCTGCATGATATGATATCAGTAAAAGCTACATGTTAAGCTGGCCATACATGGCTCAAAATCCATGTATGGGCAGGCTGGTTGTACACAAGAAGATCTATCAATTGACTTTGTACAACTAGCCTGCTGGGTTTTTTTCCCGAATGATCAGTGCCGACGGCCATAGCCAGAAACAATCGTCATTGCATTGTGATAGTGGGGACGTCTCCCTGCTGTCAGTACACACTACCACAGCAGGAAGGATTCCCCCCTTCACCTCGAATGTGTGGATGGGGGAATCGGATCATTTTATTAAAGTTCATCCTTCTGATTGAAGCAAGAATATGAATGTATCGGCTTCCTTAGAGAATGCTGCATACCTCCATAGAAATCCATACGTTACATGAGGGTTCTAGGTGTCACCAGAGAGAGCTTTGATACTAGATAAAAAGGATCACCATGTTGTTCCCATGTCTGCATGTAAACGTCAGTCTGACCGACTATGTGGGTTTCAAGGTCCTCACACTCTTGTGGTCACAATCAGGGGCGGACTGACAACTCATGGGGCCCCCCCGCCATAGGGGATCATGGGGCCCCTGTTTCTTTGCTCACACTCAAAGCACACCCAAAAAAGCCTATTGGTGTCATTCTGGACTCCAACCTATCCTTCCAGCCCCAAGTCCAATCTTTAACAAACTTGTGCAGACTCCACCTCACCAAACATCACCAAAATCTGCACGTTCCTAACCCCAGAAACCACTAAACAGCTCATCCACTCCCTCATCATATCACGACTCGACTACTGCAACTCCCTCCTCACTGGCCTGCCTCGCCGCTGGGTATCCCCTCTTCAGTCCATCCTGAACACGGCTGCCAGACTCATTCACCTTACCAACCGCTCCATTTCCGCCACCCCCCTCTGCCAATCCCTCCACTGGCTTCCGATTGCGCAACGGATCAAATTTAAAATCCTAACACTGACGTACAAAGCTGTCCACCATACTGCCCCGAACTACATCACCGACCTAATATCCAAGTACCGCCCAGCACGCACACTCTGCTCCTCACAAGACCTCCTTCTCTCTAGTTCCCTGGTCTCCTCCTCCCATGCCCGCCTCCAGGACTTCTCCAGGGTGTCACCCATCCTCTGGAACTCCCTTCCCCAACCCATCAGATTATCACCTACTCTCCTCTCCTTTAGGCGCACCCTGAAAACCCATCTCTTCAGGGAAGTCTACACCACCACCCCTGCTAACTTGCCGACCTCCTCCACTCTTCCTAGCACTCCATCCCCCACAGCTATCTCCTCCTGTGCCACCATCCCCTCCCTCCTAGATTGTAAGCTCCAAGGAGCAGGGCCCTCGAACCCCTCGTGTTTTGCATTGTATTGGTATTGTTCTGTCACATGTTTTGTCCCCCTTTGTAATGTACAGCGCTGAGCGAACTATTGGCGCTTTATAAATACTGTATAATAATAATAATAAATAATAATAAAAAAAAAAGGTACCAGGGGCCTTTCATGGGGTCCCCTACTGACTCCGGGCCCTCAGGCAGTGCTCGAATGGTCAGTCCGCCCCTGGTCACACTACTATATTACAGGATCATTAGTGACAATCACGTGGACCTGTGACCTGTGTGTCTGGTCAGACCGACATCTACCTGTTATAATACCCAGTATTGTGTAGAAAGCCCCTAAACAATGTCATCTACACAAGGACATCTCCAGCCTGGCTCAGAGACAACACAACCTCATTAATGTGCTAAATCATTTATGTCCTGATTAAGTCAGAATGCAAACATTGTCCTGCTGGAGATCACCTTTCAAGGCTTTACCTCTGATTAGGAACATACTGTGACTGAATGGGGAAGGAAGACTCACCCTGCCCTATCTCCATGTCTGTAGCAATAACCCCGTTACCTATTATTGCTACATCTGTGGTACGTGCTAGAAAAGTACAGAATCAAAAAAAAAAATTAGGGTGAGCTCACGAGAGGGATGACAGCTTGGTTCCCATATACATAGAGATTGTTACAGCCGACCCAAATCTGGCACCTACTTTTGTCCATAGAGCAGGGGTCTCGAAACTATGGCTTTCCAGGTGTTGAGGAACTACAAGTCCCATGAAGCCTTGCAAGACTCTGACAGCCAGCCACAGGCAAAACTCCCAGAGGTAGAGGTATGATGGGACTTGTAGTACTTCAACAGCTGGAGGGCCATAGTTTGGAGACCCCTGCCATAGATCATTAGAAGGATGAGAGGGGCACAAAGCTTGATTAAGTCCAGTAACACATAAAACATCATTTAAAAGCCAACACGTTTTGGGTGCTCAGAGCTCCTTCTTCATCAGGGCAGTAAATTCAGGTCTGTACTGGATAACAATTGCAAACTCATACAGATAACATGGGATTTGGGTCAGCTACCCACATGGAAGAAAAGATATATTTGAAATATATTTAAAAAATATTCTTCCCAAATATATTGACACAAGCTCTGATGCGAGGGAGTTCTGAGACCCTGAAACGCATTGCTTGTATGGATGATGTCCTGAAAAATAAGAATTGTTACTGCACTGAAACAAGCTGTGGGCGCTTTAGTCCTAATGCTCTACAGCAGTGGTTCTCAACCACCAGGCCATAACCTACTGATGGACCACAGCCTCCCATCTTCTGGGCTGCCAGCCAATTGCAGATCCCTCTCACAGTGCTTTCCAACCTTCCATAGTGGTCCACAGTGTCCATAGGCCCCCTACCAACCCTCAGCCTCCATAGACCCCCCATCTCCTACAGTGTTGCTCTTCCTCCCACAATGGCCCAGTCCCATCCAGAGCTTTCCAATGTTTCAATGCATTACCATACTTTCATTGTGTGAGTATACATTTTATGTTTTACTGTTGGAGTATGGAAGGTTTGAAAGAAAATACCAGGCCCTAGTTTGAAAAAGGTTGAGAATCACGTCTGTACAGACTACTCTGGAATAATGTAGTTGACAGAGAGCTGCCTTTAAAAGTGATGTTGTTTTACTCCTGATTTCAGTCTACTGTGGGATCCAGTGCTCCACCATCACATGCGTAAATGCTAGTAGGATATCTATGGACAAGGATGTCTCACATAATACATACTGTAATAGCAGCCTAACTTATGGTCTTCTTGAGTCTGGATAAGCCTGGAACTGGACGTATTCTAATGTCTCTGACTGACCGTAGATATACGAAGATGTGCACACATGATCCAACCACTAGGACATTTATCAGCCAACTGTCCTTCAAATCCATTCTTGTCTTCCTCTAGTATACATATGAATGTATCTGTAGAAGGGAAGAGGCAAGTTCAGTGGACAGCAATGTGTAAAACCTTTTTTCCAGTTGAATGTAGAGTGATGAAGGGCTAGAACCTTTGTTCTAACCTTGTGACAGCTGTGTAAGAATGGTTCCCTGCTACTACCTTTTTTAGTGTCCCTCTCTGATTTAGTTCCTCTATGGATCTTGGAACTCAAGAGGAATTTCACTCCACCTTAACCCCCTGCCCCCATGTTTTTTATATCCCCTTTTACCTTTACCACTGGGTTAGCTGCCAAAAAAACAATCTCACACCCAGAAAATCCAGTGGTTTTCCACAGCCATTCCCTGCTCCGCTGCTGCTTACCTGGTCCCGCGGTTCCATCTATAGGGAGCAGGTGGTTTCTTGATGGTTCCATCTATTGGGAGCAGGTGGTTTTCTTCGTGGTTCCATCTATTGGGAGCAAGTGGTTTCTCTGTGGTTCCATCTATTGGGAGCAGGTGATTTCTTCGTGGTTCCATCTATTGTGAGCAGTTGGTTTCTTCGTGGTTCCGTCTATTGGGAGCAGGTGGTTTCTTCGTGGTTCCGTCTATTGGGAGCAGGTGGTTTCTTCGTGGTTCCGTCTATTGGGAGCAGGTGGTTTCTTCGTGG